TTGCTTTTTTCCTTTGTCTATCTTATCCAAATCTGAGAATTTTCTTGAGCTCAATATTTTATTCTCCTTTTGAGGGGTTTTTTCAGACAGCTTAACCGAAAAAAGAAGATCATTTGGAAAGAATGGGTGAGAGAAAAAGGTACCGACGACGAAGAAGAGAAAAAAAGTAGACTTTACGCTTTTTGTTTATTTTATATAAATATAATTTGTTTAGTTAAAAAGCTTGGACAAGTATGACTCCATGGCCCAATGGATAAGGCGCTGGTCTACGAAACCAGAGACTCTGGGTTCGATCCCCAGAGGAGTCGCTTTGCTTTTTCTTTTTAGTTTTTACCTTTTGACTTGAAACGCATCGTATAACGGAATTAGCAGCTAGACGACGTCGTCTCAACCTTTTTTTGTTAATCATGATCAAAACGATGTCGTATTAGTAACCAACTAACCATACTCGTTTAGTCGTTTTCAGTTAAAGACCAAAGAAGCAGAAAACAAAGATACAAAGTTTACAAACTTCAAACAGTGACAACACCAAAAGGTTTTAAACGATTCATACAAAGAAATTTCTTCAGATTCTCATATAGAAGAACCCGAAGATAGCTTCAAACGTTTTTCGACAAACATTTCAAGAAACTAGATTCTAAAGAAACATTGAAACGTGAGAGCTGAGGTTGTGGCGCGGTTAAATACCGGATGGTCCTGAGTCTTTTAGACCAGTGAAATGCTGCTCTCACCGCCTGGAGGCTTCCTCACACCGCCAAAATAGTCACGGGATTCTGACTTTCCGTCTGCGAATATATTGTTTCCGCTCATTTCACGGAGTTTAGCTGCGCTTAACTGCTTATCTGCGGTACCAGGAGATTCATCGCCTTTGAAAATACTGTTGCCAGTGAGTTCTTGAAACTTTTGGTTATGTATCTTCTTTGATGTCTTCACAACAGGTTCTTCGCTAAATAGTATGTTGCTTTGTCCTCCTGCAGGCTGTTAAATTATGAAGAAAAACAAACATTTTTAGTCGAGGAGATTTCATTTGAAACGAATCCAAACTGAAACCATATCAAAACCTAACCGATGATTTTTGGTTTGCCTTCGGTTTCTACATTTTTTCAACCACCAAGTTGCAGTTTCCTTTCAAAGTAATGCTAAGATAGTATTAAGGAGATTTACTTACATTGGAAACTTTAACAGAAGTGCGTAAGTTCCTCGGTGCAGGCTCTCCCATGTCTCTGTTACCTCTAGCTTCTTGTTGTGCAGCAGCCAATGACCGAGGCTGAATCTCAGGTGGAGGTCCAAAGATATCATGACCACTTATCTCTTCGATCTTAGCACTCGATATCTGCTTTTTGCTCTTTAAATCCGCCTCGGTTAGCAAGTTTCCACTCAGCTCTCTTTGCTTTGCAACCTCGGTTAAAGTGGTTGGTTTCTTCGGGGAAACATTCCCGTCAGCGCTGAAAGATATCTGACTCACTCCATTCAGAGTTTGCTGCAATATTCATAAACACATTTACAGAAGCAAATCATTTTAAACTAAAACTTTTATAAATCTGTTGAAACATAAGACAAGTAGGTTACGTGATAGTAACGAAGTCCCGTCTTTGGATCAGTAGCATCGGTATCAGATCCGCCTTTCGCCTTATCAGTAAATATACCACTACCAGTCATCTCTTTAAGCTTGTACCCTGAGCAATTCTTCCTGTACAACAAAAACCGTAAAATCGACTTATAAAATCAGTAAAGAAACAACCTTTTAACACTTGAAGATCTTGAAACCATCATAGAACATTAACAAATTAGGTAAAAGATAAAGCAACTAACTACAAAAAGATTTGCACTTTTCTAAACTTATAAAAAAAAATCAAAAATCTCATCATTAGTTAATGAGTTTAAACAAATACTATCACTATATTGAAACAGTAGTAGTTTGACATGTAATGGTGGGGCTTTGAAGAACAATGAATGTTAATTAAATAAATTCTCAGAAAAGCCAAAAACACATTGACCAATCCCTTTCATAAATTCATCAATCAATTTGATATTTACAAAAGAAAACAGAATCTGACTTCATATAAACAAGACAATCACTTTCAGAAGCAAGATCCAGAGACACTAGATCTGCTAATGAAATGTAGTTGAAAAAAATGTTTAAAGTAAAGATTTTTGCATGAGATTTGAGATTAAAAATGGGATCTTTTTTACTCACAGTTTATTGAGTGACTGAGCTTCTTCGTCGGTGATCTGACCGCCGCCGAGAACTTTGCTGATTCCATCGGACGGCTAAAAACGAAAGAACAAAGCTTTATCAATGGAGGGAGAAAGATAAAAGAGACATTTTTTTAACGAAGCAAAACGCAAACCTGGTGAGAACGCGCGGCTGAAGCGGTTGAGTGGTGAGGAGGAGGAGGAGTTTCCGACCAAGAAAGCAGATCGGCGGTGGAAGTGTGAGGGTTTCTTACTGGTGTGTTTCTCTCCATACTTTCTCTGTTCTTTAATGTTTTTTTTTTTTTTTTTGCTTTCTCTTTCTTTTCGATTGGAGCTTTTGAGCTATGGTTCATGTGAGTGTAAGATATTTGTTTTTCTCTTCTTTTTAACTTAATCAGAAAATAAATCTTTGTTTTATAGAGGTTAGATTGTTTTAAGATTAGATTAGTGTAAATACTTTGCAAGTTTAGTAATGCTATCAATAAGTTTAAGAGCAAAAATAGAAAAACAATCTAATCCAAATCTCTCATTTGTTATTTTTGTTATAGCAAAATAGGCAAAACATTTACTACTCTTGATAAGTTGAAGTATTCTAATCCAAATCTCAAAAGTATCTAAACCTAGTTTGAATTTTGAACACATGTTTATCACTTCAAATACATTTTTTTTTTATATATATAAAAAGATAAAACTAAACTGTAAAAGACAGATCAAACTCCATGGAAATGGAAACAAACTGTACATTATTTATGCCTAAATAAATGAGTAATCACTATGATTTTTGATTCTTCAAGCTAAACACCATACTCCCATGGGAGAACTAAAAATGCTCCACCAATTCAATTATACCTACACTTACGTATATAATCTAGAATCAAATACTTCAAATCTAACGAAAAGCAGTAACATCGACGCATTCTCTTCCGGCTCCTTGGATCGAGGAGGAAGAATCGAGAAACTACATATAGCTTCTGGTAAAGTTGCTTGCATATGGTCTAATGGCTTCTTAAGCTTTATTATTGTTTAAAACTATATAGACCTTCTTCTTCTTATGTGTGTCTGCTGAGTTTACTCTGTTGTCTGTTCGATAGAACGTAGCTCCCAGTTTCCTTCTCCATCAATCAGCCTTAGCTCCAGGGAGTGGAATGGGATCAGAGCCGGACGCTGCGATTTATGAGAAGAGTGATGAGATTTTGGTTAAGAGTTTTCATGTGTTCATGGTAATGAGTGAAGGAAAAAAACTTACTTGTGATGAGGTTATGAAAGTGACTCCCATCTCTTTTGCAACCCTATAGAGCTGTTCCTCAACATCAACACTCGTCGCGCTGTAAACCAAAGAGCGGATATATAAACAAACGGGAAAAAGATGATACAGGGAAAGGAGAAGGCTTGATCATTTACTTGGTGCATTCATCAAGGATTCCAAACTTTGGCCTGTGAAAGAATAAACGTGCCTACGATACAAAACAACTCAAGATTATTCACGTGAACCATAAAACTACATACATATGTCAGTTGGTGCTCTACAAGAGACTTACCATGCCTAGTCTCTGTTGCTCTCCAAGAGATAATATGTCTTCCCAATTGGTAGTAGCATCCCAACCACCTACATCTCTTTCCAAAAGATAAACTAACCGAACATTCTCCAAAATGGTTTTCAAATGAGCATCAAGAATGCTTCCAGCTTCAGTTGAGCTGTCTTCTGTTACTTGC